CGCTCAACCTCAAGTGCCCTCTGGCTCTCCGCAAGCTTGGTCAGGGCATCGTCCTTGGCTGCAGCAGCCTCATCGGCTCTCTTCTGCAGATCTTTGGCATCCTCTCGAAGCCGATCCAAGCAGGCCATCGCCTCATCGGCCGAGGCAGCCTTTTGCTCGAACTCCTTCAGGCGAGCAATCTCCCGTTGCTGCCTTTTGTTGCTCTCCATGAGCATGAAGGCACCCTGCAAAACAAAGGCAAACCAAAACTCAGGCAACGACTTCACACAGATGACAAGGAAAAACAACAAATAAAAGGGAAAGGAACTTACTTGGACGATGAGGTCCATCCCGCCTTCATAGACCTTGACATCCCTGAGTTTCTTGAGGTAGGCCCGATCCTTGGCCGGCATGGCCTGGGCAAGCACATCATGGCCATCAACGCCATCATCAAAGACACCCCCGCCAACGGGGTACTCTACCACTTTATGGTAAGTGGCAGTGGCAATCTCCTTGCCAGCCCGTTTCGTCCGAGTCTCCTGGACGAGAGGGAGCGGTTGAGCAACGCCGCTGGAAGGAGCAGCGGAAAGATCCATAATGGCGGAAGCAGCGCCAGAACCACCATCGTCCACATTTGGGACGGTCAGGACGCCGACCTCATCGGCAAGGGAAGGAGACTGCGCCCTCTTCGTCTTCTTGGCGAGCTTCAGACCAGCCTCGGTTAGCTTTTTCTGGCCGTCAGTGGGAGGCCGCTTCTTCTGTGGCTGGGCAGGCTTCGAGACCACACCAGCAGCAGCCCCGCCTCCCTCGGCCGCGGCACGCCTCGCCGCCTCGGCCGCTTTCGCAGCCAGCTCCTCGGCCGCCTTGGCCTTGGCTATGGCCATTATCGAACGGCGATCCATCACAAAGTCTACATAAAGGAAAATAAACAGGTTAGCAAGGTAAAGGAACAAAAACAAAGGAAGAAAGCCGGAGGAAGTATTACCATCGGCTTCAGCAGGAATGCCCAAATCCGGGCCGTCGGCCTCCTCAAAGGTAGTGGTCATCCTCGGCCACAGTTGGGCATCGTCCTCCTTGTCACCATACACATAATATCTGAAGAAGCCGAGGGCGGTCATCTTATATTCGGTAATGTAATCTTTCACGCACCTTGGCCCCCCGTCCAAGAACGCCTCCACCTGAGCGTCCAAGATCGAACTCTTCGGCGGGTCGTGCAGATTGAACCTCCCAGTATGGCCGAGAGAGGGAAATTCAGTGTCGTTCTCACCAAGGGACACGAACACAAACTTACTCTTCCAACCATGGATGGACGAAGGCAAGTGCGTGAAGCTCCTCTTCTTCGGCAATTGTTGGAGGGTAGCGTAGGCCGCACAGTTCTTGTGGCTTCCTCGGCCAATCTGGTAGAGGTTCATGAAGAGAGCTGTCGTCGGCTTGTAGCCCAACTCTTCACAGCGGAGCAAGAATCCCACCATCAACGAGTAGCTGTTCGGGGTCAGCAAGGCCGGAGGAAGTCCCACCATGTCCAAGTATTCCGTGATGAAGGGATGAAGGGGAAATCTCAGCCCCTTAGCGAAGCTCATCGGGTACACTCCGAAGAATCCCGGCGGCGGATGAAGTACATGGTCCGTCGGCCTGGGTGCCCTAACTCTCTCGAACGGCCCCACATACATCTGCGCGACTAGGTAATCGGCCGCATTGCTCTCCGGCTTGATGAGGTAGATATTCGTGAGATCCAGGTGGGAGTACCCTGGCCCACTCCTCGGCCTCCTTATCCTCTTCGGCCTCTCTGCTCCCTTCACGGCGGACACCGGCTTCGGGCACGGAATAGCAGTGGAAGTGGACGCCCCGTCCACCACTCGGGACGCACCTGCGTCCTCGCCTTCCGAAGACGAGGCAGACTCCTCGTCCTTACCCTCGTCGTCCTCTGGCTCTCCGGACTTATAGGGGCTCAGATGATCTATCTCCTCCTCAAACTCCTCGAGCACCTCGTAGTCAAGGGACCTAGTGGAGGGCTGGTCGTCGTAGTGGTAGTACTCCTCGTCCAAGCTCTTCATCTTACACTATTAACGCTCTAAAGGTCTCTACTTTGGAACTAAGTGTGAATCCCCTATTAACACTAGATCAAAGGCTCAGGAAGCAAAGTATATGAAATACGAAAGGAACAAGTGAAGAACTGACCTTTGAATATTTGAAGAAACAGAAGAACACTTGAACAAACACCTCAGAGACTCTCTCTCTAGAAATTTCAGCAGCACTTCGTGGGCACAGATTGCAAATGAGGTTACCGCGTCGGAAGGGGAGGGGTATTTATAGACCTCCTCTCCAACGGTCACTACACGTGGCACCATATAAGTGGCCACCTCAACGGTCACCTTCCCAGCAGCCAATGAGGTGCCCCCCCCCCTTTCGGAAATGGGCCGGGCTCGTGAACTAACCTACCGGCGGAGTAAAACCCTATGGATCACACGGACAACGAACGCCCACAACGGCCTATATATACGCTTGCCGGCTTCACAATGCCAGCAAAGCGCCCACAACGACTAGGAACGTCATGAACGCCCGTAACGGCCACAGAACCAAAGGAACAAAGAACCCGCAGCCATCGGCCTTCGTAACGACCCCTGATGATAACTCTTTACAAGCGATCTGCGCACAAGGGTTCTCCGACAGGGTTACCTTGGCCAGAAAATCGCCATAAGGGTTGGATTCAGGGGCACCACGGAGAGGCCGCTTCGGCCAGGGACTCAAGCAACTCCTTCACCCCTCACACTCTTCGGCCTGAAGCAGTGGGGGACTGGGGGACTACATCGGCCTCAACAATACAGAAAGGAAAAACGCAAAGAACACAAATGTAACCACAAAGCATGGCCACATCGTCCACGTATCACAACGGCGCCAAGGTTTTCGTGACTCCGTCTCCTCAGCCCGGTACTTTGGACAACACGGCGCCTCGTCGGCCAAAGGCACATAACACCATCAGCAACGGCCAACAGGCCACCTAAGGCAAGGACATTCATCGTCCCCCGCCAACAGTTAATCATAATGGGCTCTTCGGCCAAGAACACGAAAGCCAATCAGCGACGGCCAAAAGGAGTGCGCAAGCACCCTCATCGGCCACCCAAAGGAAAGGACGCCATCGTCCTCGAAGCAAGGTTCAACCTCAACGGCCTCATCGGCCCAAATGTAAATCTCAACCATCAACGTCCAAGAAAGGGAAAACGCGCCCTCAACGGCCACCATCGAAGCAGGACACTCATCATCCCCAAACGAACACACCAAGGAAACAACGGCCTCCCCGTCCACAGCGAGGAACAGCTAACGGTCTGGGAGTGCCCGCATCGGCCAAAAGCACCAAAGCACAGGAATCTACTCTCCTTCACTTCGTCTACGTCTCAGCTTAGAGAGTGGGGGACTCCTAATGGAGTATATGGGTCTGAGCCCCAGGACCCACATACTCGGAAGAACAGAAAGCACAAGACACTGAGTGGTGCCCTCGTCGGCCAAGGGACCCCCGTCGGCCGGAAAGGTACCAACTCAGAATATGGTCCTGAATCCAAGGAACCTGGGTGCCCTCGTCGGCCGCGCCCTCGTCGGCCACGAAGACCTCACAGAACCGGATTTTACACTTACTCATTTGTACAGCCCATTAGTGGCTTTGTATTCGGCCCAGTAGCGGTCCAGTTGTAAATGGGCCTCCCAAGCCCAAGACTTGGGAGCCCAGCCCGTATTTTCTCTATAAATACTCCCCTTGGGAGTAGTTATAGGGGTTACAAAATCATTCTATTGAAGCATATTATTGCACTTCTCTCTCTAGCTCTCACTTCTCTCTAGATATACTCTATCAATTCTGTAGATATGTGTAACATTCAACTCAACCGAGAGAAAGAGATTGCGAGGAACCATCCTAATTCGCGAGGCAAAGGTAAAAGACATGTGTGGTCTTCTTCTCAAAATCGAGATGATTTTGACACAAATTATGACCGGAGAGATGCGATTTACGAGGAAACACTCGAAGAGGTATAAGGCCATCAGCAAACCCCCGACGAGGAAACACCCGACGAGGACAAGCCTAATTCATCCCAACTCGGTAAGAAAGGTCAATCTCTCCTTGTGAAAAATAATTACACAGAATGGAAGGAAACGACAAGCAAGAAGTGGTGGGCAACTTGCTACCATTGTAACGAAAATATTTGATTGGGAATTTCGCATGAATACGGAGGCGAAGGATAGGCACTTGAAGGCAAACCACCCCGAGGAGTATGCAAAATTAAGAGTCAAGGGGACGCGAAGTATATTTTCCCGCTTTTTTAAAATAGGTTATTAACTATATTATCAATTGTACTTCATATTTCAATATATATGCATTGAAATTTTTTGTAGCACTTGTGAATTTTTAAATATTTCTCAATTCTCAACTGTAGTTCATATTTCAAATAAATATATTTTAACTTTTTATTGTCTAGCACTTCTTGAATTAATTTTAAACTAGATTTCAAAAAAAAATAGTCCAACCCGGCCCAATCCGACCTGAGACCCAGGCGGGTAGCTCGGCCCGGCCGGTATCAATACCAACCCGGGCCGGTATTGGGCCTTCATCCCTAAAACCCAGTCCCACCCCGACCCGAAGCCCTGCTCAGGCCCGGGCTCGGTCCATCCCTACGGTCCTACCTGGCAGCCAAGTATTTTTAAGTTTAGGCCATTGGCATGGATGTGTGAACAAGACAAAATAATCATAAACTAGAAACTTTAGTGAATTTGACAACTAATTTTGTTTATCAATTCCAAAATATGACTATAATATTTTTATTCCGAAATTTGACTAATTACTCTTATTTAGTGCACAAATAAAAACATGACTAATTTTTAGAAACTTTTATAGTCAAGCAACTTCTATTCTAAAAAATTAGTGAAATTGACTAATTTCTATTTTAATATTCTGGAACGTTTTTAGTTCTATATTGAGAATTTTCCTGAAAATTATAGTCAGGCAACTTTTATTCTAAAAAATAAGCCAATAATAGGTTTTGAATGATGTACAAGATATATTAAAACTTGATTGCAAACACGGGTCAAGTTAAAGATTTTTTTAAGCACATGTTAAAGATATTTTTAGAAACACCATAATAATCATATTATAACAGTAGTACCGCTTCATTAAAGAAACAAAGCTCTAGTACACTTCAATCCAAAATCATAGTATCCCAAACACAATGAAAAACAGGACAAAAATATCATATGGGGGAGAAGCTCAAATTTTGTTGAAGGCAACAATGTCACAGCTCTGCACATACTCATTGCAGGGTTCAACAGTTAGTCGTTCTTCAATGAGCGTATCAACAGAGACAAGATCATCAACTATGGTCATCATGATCTGCAACTTTTTGATTCCATATCCCACGGCGACAAGCTTTGATGCTCCCCACAGAAGTCCTTCCATCTGAATACTCCTAACCATCTCTTCCAGCTTTTTCATGTCTGTCTCGTCATCCCAGGGCTTAACGTCCAAAAGAACAGAAGACTTTCCACCTGTAAAGGTGAGAATTTGAACAAATGAAATGTTGTTTTCATGAATTGGAATATGAAGTTATGAACATAAAAATCAACATCTCCCCCATCCCCGAACAGCTCTAGTACATGGATTATCCTGTATTACCCAAGTCAACGTTGTGAACTGTGTTTACTTTTTTATTTAGATTTTATTTACTTACACAGACAGCTGGACTCCATATTAATGTTAATTGTACTACACATTTTCTATTACTCTTGCTGTTATTTCATGTCTAGCTGGAGCCCATTCATATTGAACATTTATACAAGCTCAGGTATATGTTTTGTAATACAAGCTGTAATATACGGAGTATTATTTTATTACACGGGTATATTTAAATATTACAAGGCACACCATGTCGCCTAGTTGTCACCTCGACGTGTGCCTAGACGCCTAGGCGACAAGGGAGTCAGTTAACCGTCCCTCGCCTAGCCGCTGTGACAACCATGACTGGCAAAATAATGCATTGTCCACAATCATGATTAGTATGATAATATAATGTCATCCTCTGAAAAAGAATGGTCTATGTTGTGACTCACTCTCTTTCTTCTTGGAGGATGCCTTAGTTGAGGCTGCTCTCTCTTCTGCTGCTTTCTTTTCTTCCTCTGTCTCCTCACCAAAGAGATCAATGTCGTCATCATCATCATCAAGAGCCTGCAAATGTTCCATGTGGTAGTGACTAGTGGAAAAGTAAGGTGATAAACTAAATAAAACATCAGCAGCAGCAGCACCACCTTAATCCCAACTTGTTGATGGCTTGGTGGTATAATATATTGGTAAATGCTACCAAAGCGCTAAAGACCATGCTTATGTATTTAGTATGAAACATTGCGTTATGAGAATTTCAAGAGAGTTTCAGGTCATAGATGGTTAATTATCTCATGCTTTGGTGATTGATGCGTTCTTAATGCTAAGTGTCATGAATAATGTTTGAGAACTTAATGATATTATAAATATCATGAAGAATATTAATCTCTCATTCATGCTTAGACATAGCCTAAGAACTAAGGTTAACAGATCTCCAGAGTTTTAGACAACTGTAATATATCCTTCAAGCGATTCTAAATAAATACTATTGTATCAAATACACAGAGTATGCAAGTATTATGATTCATATGGTAGGGAAAAGTTGAAGGAAAAAAATTAACATGGAAATATCTAACTTTTAAATTAAAAAAAATCGTGTATGACCAATAAATAGTATTCTGTAACTTCATCTACAAGATAAAGTGGAACATATTCTAAAAAAAGTTGAGAAAAGCATGAAATATGAAATTGTACATTGTAGTAGATATACTTGCTAATTTATCAAATATGAGAACTTTACATCAGGAACTACCTCAGCTCCCTTAGTTGGTGTAGCTTTAACCGGAGCACTTTGACTCTCAAATCTTACTCCAACGTCTTTCCCGTGGAAGCTAAGACACAAAACATGATAATTCAAAACAGCAATAAAAATTGCGATTCAGATTTAAGAAAATATCAATGCGAAACTAAGCAACAAAATAAATATGACTAATTACAGCAAGAAAAGCAGTAAAACAATATACCTTGTGGCGAGTTTGTAAGAAACGGTTTGGTACCATTTGCTAGCATTTGGGTATAGATCTACACTAGGTTGCTCCAAAACGGCAGCATATACCTTGACATCATCCTTAGTGAATTGATCTCTACGAAACATCATTTAAACAATATGATAAGAATGGAGAATTCAAAAGTAAATCATTACTGGTGTAAATCAAATAAATTATTAACTACCCAGAAATATATGATTTTGCAGCGAGAAATCCATCGAGAGACTTGATACCAGCTTCAGTGTGGAGATCTGAGAAGGTTACGGCCATCTTCAGAGTTTTTTGAGTTAGGGCAAATCTGAGTTTGAGGTTTTGAGGTTTTGAGGTTTTGTGTTAATATATATGGAATACATGTGCGAACAAAAACCCTAACGGTGCTAATTACACTTTTATTCCTTTTTTCCTTTTTTATTTCCGGTGCTAAATTTATTCTTTTTTTGGATGTCCCACTAATTTTGCTAGTTTCCCTTTTAAGTAAAAAATTTGTATTTCTAGTTCATTCTTTTTCCTCTGCAAACTCAATCACACAGTTTTTACTTTATTATTTCCTGTGCAGGTCATACTTGGCTAAGTTATTAGGACTGTCATATTTTTATTCCCAAAATAGAACTAATTATTGCCATGTTTTGGCAGTATCAGATTTCAAACATGACAGTATTTTCTAAACATGACAGTAATTAGTCCTATTTTGGGAATAAAAACCATGGCAGTCCTATTTTGGAATTTTCAAATTGTTTTAGTCCTATTTCGGAAACTTTCTCTTATATTATTATTGTCTATTGTTTCATCTAGTGCACGTTTCAGTTTCACCAAATTCACAATTCAGTTCCATTTAAGAACTTTTAATCACAATATTTCATTTATTGCAATCATTAGTTATGATTCACATGATGTCATATTCATGATCACCCCAAATTCAAATGAGTTTTTTTTTTGCAATTAATCCTAAATATTTACAAAAACGTCACTTTGTCATTATTAGCCATTGAAGATAATAATTCATGATGAAGATTAAAAGTTCTTATTTTAAAAGTACACATTTTAAAATACGTTTTATATGTATATTTTGGCGCAATCAACTTCAAAAACTGATTTGATTGTCTTCCCGATCGAATTTTGAGCTGAAATTTTTTGTGGATAAACTAGACTTGATGAGGAACATGCTCAAAACGTTTCATCAAAAAATCCCACCGGAAACGGTCTCAAACGGCGGTGTTCAGATGGCTTTTGGACGGAGAAGTGCTGGACAGGATCATCTCTCTCTCTCTCTCTCTCTCTCTCTCTCTCTATATATATATATATATATATATATATATATATATATATATATATATATATACTACGTATATATGATGGATTGCCGACCATTGGGGGTAGCCGAAATACGGGGAATAAGGGAGAAGATCAAAACAGTTGCTAAGTAGAATTAGGTATCAAATTCAGCATAGTAACAGCTAGAGAATTCTAGATTCGATCCATTTCCACATGTTGGAAGGTGACATTTATACTAAAAAGGTAATACTTGGTGACCAAGTAAAAAAGATGTTATTCTATTGTGGTGAGGACACGTGTCACACCTTCCCAGCAGAATGATCAAACCAGTCTAATAATGTGGTGACACGTGTAAAGGTGATTGGAAAGATGACTGGGACAACGGCTGAGTGTTACGAAAGTATACCAAAACGCATGTGTGGGATACACGAGTATTATGCGGAAATATTCTCCGTTATATCCGCAGGAGTGACATGGCACTTGCATAGGGTTGATGACGTGGCGATGGTTTTGCGCAGCACCTGATCGATAAAAATGTCCAAGTCCATATTAGACTTGTGGCGCCTCGAGCTCCAGGAGGTCAGAGCTCGGGTGTAGTGATTTCATGTTGGGGGGTAGGGGTGGGCATAAAACCCGAACCAAACCGGTACCGAACCGTCCCGTAATGGTACCGAACCGAATACCGGGTATTTAAACGGTTGTATAGATTTTTATCCTGTACCGAAACCGTACCGTTTGAAACGGGTACGGGACCGGTCCTAGATTTTGAGAACCGAAAAATATCGGACCGAACCGTTCGTAAATAATGCATTTGAATTTTTTATATTTTTTCTATATCTATAGATCTATACCAACAATTTTATACCCCAAGTATGTATTCATGTGTCCCTAGGATATCTAAAATGTGTTGTTTATATATATATATATATATATATATTGCTAGTTTTTTTAGATAATTTATGTTATCTTTTGGTATGTATTGAAAGAATATTAAAATTTTAGAAATCATTAATGATTATTTATTTCTAGTAATGTAGTGTACATGACTTTTTGTTGTATCATGTTTGTGCATTTTTTACAACTTAATTAATATGGTTTAAATCTTAGCTCTCAAGATTCAACTATAAATTAAATTAGAACTATGGAGTAATATTTAACCTAGAACGAAGAAGAAGAACGTTGAAGATTTCTATTATATTCAACAATTTGATGATATTCGTTTTTATATTTTCACATGAACTTAATAAATTAAAAATGATATTTATCTCGTGTGTCATCGTTTTGCTATACTTTTTCTTAGTTGTGTTGCACTATTTGTTTATTTGTGAATTTTAGTACTAGGTATGCAATTTCTTGTATTTATTTCAACATTTCATCATGTGAGGTGGTTGGTGTGATGATATCTACTAATTGCAAGATTTGTTCAAAAAATTTAACATGCGTTTGACATTGTACCGTACCGTTTTGTACCGTTCCGAAATGACATGGTACCGAACGGTTCTATCGTTGGAACCGGACCGTACCGGACCGTTAAAAACCTCACGGGTACATTACAGGTTTTACCAATTTACCGGACCGTTCCGGACCGCGTCCACCCCTATTGGGGGGCACCTCTTCAGTCCCTAGCTCATAGGGAAGTGGTCATTCCTTCGTTCTTGTTTAACTCTTGTTGACTTCGTGAGTATACTCGAGGTTAGATCCAGTACCGACCTCGGTGAGCTCGAGGTCGGCCTCGTATTTCACCGTATCTGGATGATTCTGGAGCTCAATGTTTCCGCCGACCTCGGAGGTCAGCCTTGTCTGGGTCTTTCGTCCTTTGTTAATTTTTGGTTTTGAACTTAGTCCTGACCTTGTGCGTCGAGGTCGGCCAAGGATTGAACTTCGGTACTTTAAGTGTAAGATATATGGGATTCTTTAGTTCGCTGGTGATGGTACCATGGACTCCAATCATGGCCCAATTACGGAATTATAAGTAAAGCTCATAACGGGATCAAGCCCTCAACGAGATCAAGCCCTCAATGGGATCAACCCTTAGTGGGATTAGCCCTTAACGGGGTCAGTCCACAAATGGGATTAATATAATTAGCTACTGGGCCTAATTAGGAATCAGACTCACGAGAGGAACTCACAACCAGGCCAGGCTGGACAGCAGACCTCGAGCATGGGCAGAATTCTAGTGAGGTCGGGGTATTCCTAGGGCTTACGTGGCATGTATCATTCATGCATAGCTATTTGGCAGCAGGCAAAAATAACGGAAGGAACTTGAATTTAAAGGAACAATCATTGCCCAACGTCCAAGACGTTACAAGAGTCTAATTCGATTGAACATGTAATTAATATTATGTAGCATTAATTGTATCAGTTTCCTCCTAGAACACTAGTTCATGTAGTGTATAAATACTTTCTGTACTCATTATAGCAAGGGACTGATTTCCGGAATAAAGAATACTGCCTTACGCTGCCATATTTTCATCTGCTCTCATAGATATAGCTCTCGTAGTTGGATTAAACTCCATCATTTGGTGCTCTCGTTGAGAGAACGATTTACAGCAATGATGGTTGGATCGCACAATCACAACCGTGTGGGTAGCAATTAAGGCGGTGATCGTTTCAATCAAGTCGTGATCGAGGACGAAAGGTCTAGTTCACGGTGGAGCGATTTCCGGAGACGCAACGATAACATGGCAGCTCAAGGTGATTTGAGACATCAACTCCAAGACGTTGGGAGCTCCAGGCGTACGGCGGTGCGACTGCCGCAGTTCCAGACCCCTGGCGCTAGGAATCTTATTTCCAACGTCGATCCAGCCCAAGCCTTGGCAAGTTTGGCGACATTCCAAAGGGCTGTGGAGACCTTGACTACCGCTTTCCAAGGTATTATCCCTGACACCAACGGAAGACCACCTTGCCCTTGTCAGGCTCCATCCGTGCCCCAGCGAGAAGAAGAGGTACCTGTGCAACAACGAAGGAACTCTCCACCAGCCAGATCTCAATGATCCCATCACTCTAGGCAAACCCCGAGGGCCTCAGTGATGGATTGGATAGGTGGGCGAAGGATCTCCGTGAATGATAGGATCTCTTTCAGGGCTAAACGAAGTGAGGAGGCATCGTCAGCGGCTGTTTCATCCCACCGCCGCAGTGCGCGTGGGGGAGATCTCAGGGACAAGATCAACACTAACATGCCGGCCGACAGGGGTCGCCGATCCCCACCTCGTGCCCGAGCAGGCCACGAAAATGACGACCTAAGAAGAAGACTGGAGGAGCTCAGGAGGGAGGTAGATGGTAGGATTAACCTCAACCATTATGTGAGGATTTCTGAACCGTTCATCCGCCCGATCATAAACGCTCCACTGCCACAGGGATACAGGCCATGTAACATTGAGGCCTATCGAGGGAAGACCGATCCCCAACACCATGTATCCAGGTACGTAGCATACATGGTGATGATGGGATATGACGATGCCATCAAGTGTAGGGGGGTTCTCGGTGACCTTGGACAGACCAACCCGGGAATGGTACAATGTCTTGCCTGACGGGAGGATCCGAAACTTTAGGAAGTTGGCCCATGCATTCGTAGCCCGGTTTGCCAGCTCTAAAGACTCCAAAAAGAATTTGTCTCACCTCTTAGGGATCAGACACGGATCCTAGGAGAACTTAATCGACTTCCTAGCTCGTTGGAGGGATGAATCGGTGAAGGTAGACAACCTGGATGACAAATCCGCTATCGCCATCCTCACCAACGCCCTGAGGTCGGGAGAACTGTATAAAGAATTTGTGCCCAATCCCCCGACCTCACATGAGGAAGCGTTACTGCGTGCCAATGCGCAAGCTGAGGTGGAAGAGGTTGAGAGGCGAAAGAGAGAAGAGGAGGCTAGAAAGCACCAACCCGAAGATGGGAGGAAAAAGGCTTCAGAGAAGGAAACCCACAACTCAGACAAAGGGAGTGAGTCCAAAAGGAAGAAGAAGGGCTAGGGAAAGAGCAAGTCGGGTGTTCCCGAGGGGCCTCTATCCAACCGGTCTGAATTTTCGCCTTTAACACATCCAGTCAACACTGTCCTGGACTATGCGGCCAAGCAGGGTTTGATAACAATTCCAGAGGGTTGTAATGTTGTCAACAACCAGGCCACTCGAAGT